GAAAAGAAAAGACCAAAAAAAAAAAAAAAGGCACAGAAAGTCTCAACTTTCCTGTGTACAGGAGTCCCTGAGACAGCTCAAGATTCAGTGTCTGAGCTGAGATTCTGTATAATAAGCTTGAACTGAGGTTCTGTTAGTGAGTCCCTGCTGATGTTCAGACACAAGCTGCAACAATGTAGACCAGGATCCCCTGGTCAATGCTCGAGTCTCCCTCACAGCTGGCAACAGGAGTCATTCTTCAAGCGGACTGTATTCCCCTACACTTGCAATACCAGCATTCAGGTTGAGACAGGATGGTTTATGGGAGTAGAAGCCGTGCCACTCACTCATCTCACTAATGTAAAACAACAAAAACAAGGGCAAAAGAACCTGAAAGATGCAACTTAAGGCAAGAAGGATTTATTTTGGTTTTTGATTTAAGAAAACTCAACCCATCCTGGGAGAAAGGCAGGGTGGAGTTCATGGCAGCTGGAGCTGTGGCTGGGATGACTCACATCTCCATGCATCAGGAAGCAGAGTGAGGGGACGCTGGCTCTTATCTGGCTTTCTCGTTTTCCTCTCCTTTCTTCAGTCTGGACCCCCAAATCATGGGCTGGTGTCACCCACATTCAATAGCATCCTCCTCTGCTGAGTTAATCTTCTCTGGAAACAACTTCACAGACATTTCCAGAATTGCAAGTTCTTGGAGATTCGAAATCCAATCTAGCTGGCCCTGAAGATTAGCTGTGGCAGTTACATGGTGAGATTCAGACCAGCCTGGGGTACAGAGTGAGAACCTACTAAAGAAAGAGAGAGAAAAGTAATATCTGGGCTCCCTGCTTTACATTCTAAAATGCAAGAATGTGGGACGAGGCCTGAGAATTCTAAAACAAGGTTTGAGGTCCCTGATGTCAACCATCAGAGAAGCAGCCACACAATGAACAGTCCCAAATGTCATCGTCAGCCCTGAGAAGTCATGTTGACAGGAACATATGACTTCCCTCCTATGGGCTTCAGCCTCAGGTATAAGAAATAGTGAGCAGTTTATACAATGAAGTCTCTGACTGATTGCTATCTGAACATTCCCTAGACTTATTTCCAACTTATAGACAAAGGTAATGGAAATTCTTATCATTTAACCATAAAAAACTTTATATATGAATTTATAACCTTATATTTTTTAATTTAGAAAAATTTAAAAAAAACCAAGCTGAGTCTTCATATCGAGGGACAGAACACAAAAGCCCATTAATACCAGGTCCTATACAAGGTACAGGTGTACACCCGTGGAGCCAAGGACACAAGCTGTGCTCAGCTGCAGAGATATTTAGCAAAGTGATGGGGGACTAGGTCTCTACTTCCTTTTTAACTTTTAAGAAAAAGGGAATTCTAATGCCAGGACATGAGGGGTGGAAATAAACTAATAAGGTTATCAAACTACATTCTTTTCGATCTCTGGGAGGATAAAGACAGAGAAGATGGAGGACCGGTTGGTGCCTGAGAAAACTCCTAGTCCTAGACCTCAGATAATATTCCAGGGTATGGTCGCAGACAGACCTAGAACAGGGTCAGGAAACATGAGAAAAGGATCAAGTATCCTCCCAGCCATTTCCCCCCTAGAGACTCCACCCCAGATTTGTGTCACATCACGAGAATATTCAATATGAAACCTTTGTCCTCTATTTCCAGGTATTCTTTACAGAGATAATAATAATAATAATAATAATAATAATAATAATAATAATAATAAATTGTCTGGAAGTGGCTAAGCACACAGGAATGGACATACTTTATAGTAACAAAACAGGACATGGGCACATTTTTTACATCCAGGGCTTGAAATTTCTCAGGAAGGCCCAAATCTCAGACACTGTCCTGTCCTACCTGTACTCTTCCTCATCACTATGGCAGCCACAGCTCCAGCGACCAACACTCCAAGGAGAACCAGACCAGCAATGATCCCCGTGATGGGGGTGGTGGGAGATGGAGGAGCCTCTGCCAGAGAGAGTAGGAGAGGACNTAGGACAGTGTCTGAGATTTGGGCCTTCCTGAGAAATTTCAAGCCCTGGATATAAATGTGCCCATGTCCTGTTTTGTTACTATAAAGTATGTCCATTCCTGTGTGCTTAGCCACTTCCGGACCATTTTTGTCTTGTTTTGTTTTCTTCCTAAAACTCTTTGCTTTTTTAATTAATTAATTACTTTTTATTGAGCTCTACATTTTCTCGGCTCCCCTTCCTGCGTCTCCTCTCCCCTTCAACTCTCTCTTATGGTTCCCATGCTCCCAATTTACTCAGGAGATCTTGTCTTTTTCTAGTTCCCATGTAGTTTAGATCTATGTATGTCGCTCTTAGAGTTCTCATTGTTGCCTTGTTGCCTAGGGTCTCTGGGATTGTGCTTTGTAGGCTAGTTTTCTTTGCTTTATGTTTAAAAGCCATTTATGAGTGAGTATATATGATATTTGTCTTTCTAGGTCTGAGTTACCTCACTCAAAATGATGTTTTCTAGCTGCATCCATTTGCCTGCAAATTTCAAGATGTCGTTAATTTTTTTCTGCTGTGTAGTACTCTATTGTGTAAATATACTACATTTTCCTTATCCATTCTCTGGTCAAGGGGCATTTAGGTTGTTTCCAGGTTCTGGGTATGACAAACAATGCTGCTATGAACATAGTTGAGCACATGTCCTTGTGGCATAATTGAGCATCCTTTGGCTATATACCCAAAAGTGGTATTACTGGGTCATGAGGAAGGTTGTTTTCTAATTTTCTCAGAAATCAACACACTGATATCTAAATGGGCTGTACCAGCTTGCACTCCCACCAGCAATGCAGGAGTGTTCTCTTTACCCCACAACCTCTCCAGCATAAGTTGTCATCAGTGTTTTAATCTTAGCCACTCTTACAGGTGTAAGATGCAATCTCAGAGTTGTTTTGATTTGCATTTCTCTGATTACTAAGGATGTTGAGCATTACCTTAAGTGTCTTTCAGCCATTTTATTCAGGACCATTTTTAAAAAAGGGGGGAAAAACAAGCAAAAAAAAAAAAGAAAGAAAGAAAAAAACTAACTCTGTAAGAACACCAGGAAATAGAGGACAAAGGATTCATATTGAATATTCTCGTCATGTGACACAAATCTGAGGTGGAGTCTCCAGGAGGGGAAATGACTGGGAAGATACTTGATCCTTTTTTCATGTTTCCTGACCCTGTTCTAGGTCTGTCTGTGATCATACCCTGGAATATTATCTGTGGCCTAAGACTAGGAGTTTTCTCTGGCACCAACTGGTCTTCAATCTTCTCTGTCTTTAACCAGAAATAAAAAAGGGTGTAGTTAGTTTTATTTTCACCCCATGACCTCATGTCTTGGCATTAGAAATCCCTTCTCCCTGAAAGTCTAGGAAGGAAGCAGAGACCCAGTCCCCCTCCCCATCATTTTGCTAAACATCCCTGCAGCTGAACACAGCTTGAGTCCTTAGCTGCACCAGTGTGTACCTGCACATTGTACAGGACCTGGTGTTGATGGACCTTAGTGTTCTATCCCTAAATATGAAGACTCAAGTTTGCAGCTTTTTATTTTTCTAAGATAAAAAGTTTTAAGTCCCTAATTTCACATATAGAATTAGTTCATGAATAAATGATAAGAATTTGGATTTCATTATTTTTGTCTATAAGTTGTAAATCAGTCTAGGGAATATATAATAATAAGTAGCTATCAGCCAGAGACTTACATTGTGTTAATTGCTTTCTGTTTCTCATACTTGAGGCTACACCTCATAGGGGAGAAAACGATATGTACCTGTCAACATGACAACTCAGGGCTGATGACATTTGTTTGTTGTGGGAGCTACTGTGATGATTGACGATAGTGACCTGAAACCTTTTCCTAGAATTCCCAGGCCTCTTCTCAGACCCCACTGACTTAGACTGTAAAGCAGGGAGCTCAGACATAACTATTTTTCTCTCTCTTTGGCAGGGTGTCACACAATGCCTCAGGCTGGTCTGGAACTCAAGTGAAGCTGTGAGGGCTTCAGTGTCAGCTCTTCTGGATTTAGAATCTCCCAGGACTTGCAATTCTGGAAATGTCTGTGAAGGGTGTTTCCAGAGAAGATTAACAGAGGAGGGGAGAGCTGCACTGAACGTGGGTGACACCACCCCATGATCTGGGGCCCAGACTGAAGAACAGGGAGGAAAAGGAGAAAGCCAGATAAGAGCCAATGTCCCCACACTCTGCTTCCTGATGCATGGAGATGTGAGTCATCCCAGCCACAGCTCCAGCTGCCATGAATCCAACCAGGCCTTTCCTGCCAGGATGGGTTGAGCTGTCTTAAATCAAAACCAAAATAAATCCTTCTTGCCTTAAGTTGCCTCTTTCAGGTTATTTTGTCTTTGTTTTTTGTTTGTTTTGTTTTGGTTTGTTTTTACATTAATGAGTAAATTGAGTGATACAGCTTCTACTCCCATAAATCATCCTGCCTCATCCTGAATGCTGGTATTGCAAGTGGTAATTCAAGTCTGTTTCAAGAGCGACTCCTGTTACCAGCTGTGAGGTAGATTGATGCATTGCCTAGAAGATCCTGGTCTACATCTTTGCAGCTTGTGAGCTGAACATCAGCAGGCTCAGTCCAAGTTTATTATACAGAATCTCACTTCAGACTCCCTGAATCTTGAGATGTCCAGGGGACTCCTGTACCCAGTAAAGTTGAGACTTTCTGTTTCTTTTTCTTTTTGTCTTTTTTTTTTCATACAATACATCCCAACCAAAGCCTCCCCTGCCAGTCTCCCACAACTTCCCCTTCCTCCTCTCAGTTCCCTATAACCTCCCCTCCCCTCAGATTCATTCTTCCTCCAGTCCCTTCAGACAAACCTGGGCTACCAATAATACCAACAAAACATCATAAAAAGTTGCAATAAGACTAGGTATAAACAATCACATCAAGACTGGATATGGTAACCCAGTAGAAGGAATGAAGCCCCACATGCAGGTCCCACAAGCAAGCAAAAGAGTCAGAGACACCCCATTCCCTCTTAGGAGCCCCAGAAACAACCCAAGCTAAACAACCACAGAGGACCGAGTACAGATTCATGCCGGCTCCAACTGCCATTTCAGCCCATGTGAGCCCTGCATAGTTGATTCTGTGGGCTGTGTTTTCCTGGTGTCCTTGACCCCTCTGGCTCCTGCAATCCTATTCCTTCTTCCCCCT